TATACACACACACACACACACACACACACACACACACACACACACACACATATACACACACACACACACACACACACACACACATACACACACACACACATATACACACACACACACACACACACACACACACACACACACACACACACACATACACACACATATACACACACACACACACACACACACACACACACACACACACACACACACACACACACACACACTCGAGGTGTGTGGGGGAGGAGATCAGTGTTATTCAGTGTGTGTGAAGCCGCTTTTCAAGCATTGCACACACACTCATGACCTGACGTGTGTGTGTGTGTGTGTGTGTGTGTGCGCGTGTGTGTGTGTGTGTGCAGGCGGCGGAGCTCTCCAGCAGTGGTCTGCGTGAGCGTGTGGAGCTCCTGCAGGGTGAGGCGCAGCACCGGCAGCAGCAGCAGAACAGCCTGAAGACGGAGCTCAAACTCCTGATGGAGCAGCTGGACGGCAAGATCGACGAGCTGCACGAGGTCCGGCAGGGCATCTCCAAACTCGGCATCGACAACTGAACACACACACTCTGTCACTCTCACTTGGATCGTGTGTGTGTGTGTGTGATCTTACATGACTGCTGGTTAAGGGCTACTGCTGAATGGTGTAATTTCTCTCTCTCACACACACACACCCTCACACACTGTATTACACACTTACATACATGCACACACAAACACAGTATATTACACACACACACACACACACACACACACACACAGTCAGAGTGGTGGGTGTTTCCCAGATCTCAGGGTTGTTTGTAAAGCTGTTATGCACAAACTGAACTGCAGACTCCTCAAGTGCCTGAAGGTGGCGCTCTCTCTCCCCCTCTCCCTTCCTTTCCCCCCCACTCTCTCTCTCTCCAGCGGTGAGACTCCTGCAATAGTGGCAGCAGGGGGCGCCACCCTCTCTCCTCCTACTGATGTGTGTGTGTGTGTGTGTGTTTTGCGTTGACAATACTCTTCTGATCAGTGGAATCATGAGCCTAATACCTGCTGGATGTGTGTTGTGTTTGTGATGTGCTGCTGATGTGCGTGCGTGCGTGTGTGTGTGTGTGTGTGTGAGACACACCTGTTGTTCTGATTCTCTTCATGCTTTGACTCTCATGATTGGTGTATTAGTGAGCGTTTCATGTGGCCTGGTGTCTTTAACACACTCTCTCTCTCTCACACACACACACACACACACACACACACACACACTCTCTCCCTCTCCTGAATCTTGAGTCTCTTTCTGAAAGAATAAACAGTTTTTGTTGATCAAAATTGTACAATAAATGGTTGTGGGTTACAGCACCCGTGTGTGTGTGTGTATTTGTGTGTGTGTTCCTCTGTGGGTGTTTCACTCCCACTCTGATTGGTGTGAGGATGTGTTGCCATGGCGACCTGCATCCCACACACAGCAGCCATTGCTGGAGAGTTGAGCTCCAGATGTGAAGATTCGGCAACTGTGATGATACTGAACGCCTGTTCCCATAGCAACATGCCAGCAAGATCACACACACACACACACACACAGTGTTCTCCTCAGTGTTGTTCAGGGGGCTCCAGCAGGATCTCCTCGTGTCTCCAGAGCTGGTCTGGTGTCTGCAGCTGCTGGTCATCAGTGGGCCGGACAGCAGCTCCTCCAGCTCAGCATCGCTCTGGTCATGTGAGCTCAGTGTATGGAGCACCATTCAGACACACACACACACACACACACAATTATGAATCTGCTTCATTTATTAGAGGTGTTACAGCAAACACACTGCTGCTGCTGTCAGTGTAAATGCAGGATGTCCCACAGAGATACCGGTGCGGAGCGTTACTCCTCATGTTAGTGTTGTTGGTGCAGCGCTGTGTGTGCGCTCAGAGCTCCTGTACACACACACACACACACAGCGCTATGCTTTATCAGAGTTTCTGTGTTGTTTCTAGTCCAGATATCTTTATAACTGTTGACTGGAGAAGTGTTTTCTAGACACAGAGGGATGTTCTCCTGAGTGACGAATGCTGAAATAATCTTGATGGAAATAAGTTTTGATTCATTTCTGAAAGCAATCTTGTGTGAGCCACTTGCTTCTGGAGATTTGCATATGAGACAGATCAGACCTGTAAGATCTCCATCATTTCTCACACTGGAGATGATGAACTGACTCTCACTATATTAGACTCGTCACCAGACTGAATCACAGACACGCCGGCAATATCCCGTTCACATATAAGGCACTGCTGACGGTGTTCTTAAACAGCGCTGATCTGCCACACACACACACACACACGCGCGCACGCACACACGCGCGCGCGCACACACGCGCACACGCACACGCACACACACACGCACACACAGTATTTGGCAATGTTTGTGTACACACAGGTGGTTCTGTACAGGTGTTTGTTTGCTTGTGTTGTTCAGCTCACTGATGCTGCTTCAGACACGGAGCTGGAGGATGATGAGTGAACACAGACGAGAGCTGATGCTGCATCCCGTTACACTCGAGCACAGCTCAACACACAGCGGCAGCAATGCATTGTGGGTGAGCAGATGTGTGTTTGGAGTTCAGTCAGATGCTCTAATGTACAGGCACAGCAATGATCAACTCTCTCACTCTCTCACACACACGCACACACATGCACACACACGCATACGCATTAGCTGTCCCAGTCTCCGGACGGCGAGTCGCTGCGCTCTTCATCCTCAGACTCGTTCGACACCTTCTTCATCCTCATCATGGCGGCTCTGATGCTGCGCTCCAGCTCTGAGTCTCTGAGGGGCGGGGCACGGGTGGACGGAGCCTTCTTTAGAGCCACGCCCTGACGAATGGCTGACAGGAGGTTGTTTCTGGGGTCGCCACCGCCGCTGTCGCCATCGCTGTCCACCGTAACCCTGCGCAGCTGCTGCTGACCGCGCTGCAGAGACGCCAACAGCGCATCCATCGACCCTGCACACACACGCGCACACACACGCGCACACACACACACTGTATCAAACACATCTGCAATGATGAGGAACTCGGGTACTTACTGAGTAATTAACGCACAGCAGTGCCACACAGGAGATGAGTAATGCGAGGAGAGCTCATCACACTGCACTGGACAAGTCTGAACAAGCCATGTGTGAGGCTGGCAGTTCTGTACAGTTCCGTAATCGATCAGCTTGAGGATATCAGCCTAATTTACCACATCCCACCGATAATGATAACCTCAAACAGCATTTATCAGCCGATAACGATGAGGCCACCGATATACCACACAATTCAAATAAACTGATGAAGCATGAACTGACACACACACACACACACACACACACACACACACACACGACTGCAGTAAAGCAGTGTTCAGACAGAAGCCGGTCATAAACAGTGCTGATCCTCCGCCGCCGCCGTCACTGTAAGCAGGGCTGGGCCATGTTGAGCAGTTTGGTCTTGTTCGATGTGGAGTGTGAGACATGGCGATGGTCTTGGTCGGCGGGGGATTTCATAATGAATGAATGAAGTGTGGACTACAGTTTACACTAGCAGAAAACCCAAAAGCACAGCATAAATAAATAAATCCCACACAAATAACAGCTGTCAATCACTGATCCCGCGGGACTCTGCATGAGCAGGGGGATCTGTGTCGGGGTCATGGCTTTGCCCAGAGCTGGGTTGGAGTTGACAGTAGTTGTTATTGTGATGATGATAACTTCCTTATTTTATTATTATTATGAGGAAATAATATCAAGTATAGATGCTCGGCTCCCCCGTTTCACTCGCATATGTGGCCCACTCTTCTTATTGGCCCACTGCTCTAGAACTGAAGGCGAATGATTGGCTAATATCAGCTGTCAATCACTCAGTCGACGCCTTCTGCCTTCAGATGACAGGAGCTGCAGCTCCTCTAACACGTGTCTTTGCTGTTCTTACATTAAAACCAAAGTCAAGTGCAGCAGGGTGTGTGTGTGTGTGTGTAATTTCTTTTGTACACCAACACTGCTGTGTGTGTGAGTGTGTGTGTCAGGCGGGCTCAGGGCTCACCTGCGTTCTGCTCCAGGCTGCTGCGGATGGGCACCTTCACACTGGTGGGCGGAGCAGGGGGAGGGGCCAGAGGAGCCGGTGGGGGAGGAGGAGCAGGGGGAGGAGGAGGCGGAGCTAGGGGAGGAGCCAGGACAGGAGTCTGGTCTGGTTTCGCTGATCCAGGTTCAGGAGGCAGCAGAATTTGTACTGGGATGTCACGCTGCTTCTGACTCCGCCCCTTCCTTTTGGGGGTGGAGCTCTGCGGCTCCAGGCTGATGATTGACAGGGGCTGGGAGGAGTCATCTCTGCTGGAGTCATGTGACTCGGGATTCACTTTAGCAGTCTGTAAAACAAACTGACCCTGACGCCGCTACACACACACACACACACACACACACACAATGAAGACATGCTGAAAACACACACACACACAGAGAGATATACACACACACACACACACCTGTCTGAAACAGCGCAGTCTGGTGAGGGTCTTCGCTCTCTCGTTCTCCACCCACTGCTTCTGCTCCTCTTCATCAGTCCTCCGCTTCTCTCGCTTCTGCACGCACACGCACACGCACACACACACACACACACACACACACACACACACAGAATGTGACACTGGAATGACAGGAAGAGGAATGTGGAGAATGTGACACGGAGCGCCTGGATCATGAAGCATTCTGGGTAATGAGCTCCTCGCTAAATAAACATATGTGTGTGTGTGTGTGTGTGTGTGTGTGTGTGTGTGTGTGTGTGTGTGTGTGTG